CGTGATGCATTATAGAGCCAAAAACGGGGGCGGCACGTTCTCCCATTAAATGGTATCCATGTTGGCTTTCCTAGCGTAAGCATATGTATGAACAAAAGGTGAAACTTAATATTGCCGGTAGCTCTACGAGGCTTATGAAAGGTGGTTATTTAGTCCATGTACGTTGCAAACCACTAACACCAAGATTACCATGAGCTAAGCATCAGACATTGGCTCCGCATGCCTTAAAGAGGTGTTCGTAGTTATCCAACATTTGTTTCATAGTACCAGTTTTAATATAGTGACCAGCGTAGGGGATATTGTTGGCACCACAGATGTTGTACGCCGCACAACGTTGATTGAACCAATGTTGGTAGATGCCACACGTAGCCCACGGAGCATTCTTCCCCTTTTTGCATCCTCCTCATGCTTCAGACAAAAGGTGCATACGTTTAGTACGGACTACTTCTGTGTGCTCCGCCTCCTATTCCCGCTTCAGAATTACTGGACTTGGTAATGCCGAGACTCCCAACGTTCGGAGGATGTATCGAGGTAGGTTGCTCAGAAACCTCCGTCACTCGCAGTTGAATTGGAGGCTTTCGTTTTGCGGAGCCCAGCGAGGCAGCTTTCACATTTGCCCTGATGTGGTCTCTGATAAAAACTACCCTGCACGGCACGTACAGCAACCTTATGCTGCACGGAGCTTGTGCTCGTCACACTCTCCGCATCATTTGGCAGTCCAGCTTTCACCGTACTGTGATACGCGTGTTCCAGTAACCGATGGTATAAGTAATCTACGTCAAACGGATAAGAACACTACGGCGCCGCGTACTGCAGTAGAGTGAAAAATAATTAACCCTGGACATCACTTCAGCCCACCTCTACCGACGCATAATTGCCGTGCCATATCGCACCGGTCCAAGGCCGTAAACCTGCAGTTTCAATTCCGCCCTCACCTACTCCGTCTTGCGAATGTTATTGGGCCTGTCCACCGCGCGTAGCTCAAGCACATCGCCAGCGTCAATGGATGTCACTGCGCTAACTCCCGCAGCCTCCGGGGACAAGTCCACCGGCCAACTGCATGCAGCATTTCATCGGCACTCTCCTACGATGCTGGCCATACGCATTCCCTTTCTGGCGGTCACGTGCACATGTGCGTACACAATATTCACCATTGCAGATGATATTCACATTCACAAAAGGCATCATTCACTTTTTCCCGTCGCCTCCTTGTACCACGGGTGCATTCTACCACCCGTGCGCGTCGGCACCATGCAATGAGGTTATCCCAAACTTTCTCCAGTGCCGCAACAACTGGTTAAAAGCTTAGGGAAGAATCCGAGTCAATCTTTGGGTTGCTAGGGATAGTGCTACAGGTGGAACTGATGGCGTCGCACCCCTGCTCCCGATCGTCAATTGCCGGGCTTGCATCCTCGAACTAACTGGCTTAATAATCACAGTGAATAGCGATCTCAGGGACGACTGCTCCGTCAACGCATTTTTCAGATGTTTATATTCATTCTCGACTCTGTTTGTCGCGAAGCAACCGAACAAATATAACGAACGCTGACGAGCCGCACATGAGGATGCCCATGGAAGCCATGTACGCCACGCGTACCAGTGAAATTCCGCACTTTTGTCTGTAAGCGCCCTCAGCATCCTGCTGAAATGTCCCCCATCACGTGTCTAAACCAAAAACCTCGCCCATTGCCGAAGAAGGTACCTCACCACCGGGCCCAGGTCAGCAAGTTGTGCACACCGTCGGTACATAGCCCACATAATCTAAAGACGGCAAAATACAGCTGCTGCGTTGGGATACTGGGACTTTAGTGCGCCAGCCTGCGCCATGCACTTGTCCATAACAAGTGTCTACACGGCCGCTGTGCAAGTCAACGTCTCCTGTACAGCTTTTTACCGACAGTCAGTAGTTGTGTTACTTCCCATTACGCAACATCGCCTTAAAAATGGATACACCATTCCCGTTACATCTATTAACATACAGTGTCAGAGTATATAACCACCATTGCATTGCATCCGCCAACAATATCACACATTACCACACAGCTATGGAGTACATGCAGGACGGCACGAAAAATACATATTTAACTATGGCTCCCTCTCTCACTACCCGACATCTGCCATTTGTCTCCAGCATTTCCGTCACCTAGCATACCTCCCCCGATTGCTGCTTCCGTTGACGACTTGTCACCGTCTTTACGTCGTCTACCTTCAACACTCGCCTAAGCATCCGGTCGACATAACGACGAATCCCACTAGCACTTTTAAATCCTGACCCAAGGCCCCAAACCTCTTGCTCCTACGCTTCCGTCAAGGGAGGATACAGGAAATACAGCCAAGAAGTATCCAACTGCAAAGCTGATTATACCGTAGATCCATTTCACTACGCGCGTACTAATCACCCGTCAACACGTAGGAAAACCTTGGTTTGCAGTCCAGCATCTTATAACTATTTGATCATTTTAAAGCATTAACAAGAGGAAACATACCCTTTACCACGTACATTGATCCGCTTCCCATGCACATACGGGTACGGTACATAATGGTATGGATATCCCTCAGGCAAGTCCTCGCCCGTCATCCGTTTGCACAGATTTCGAGTAACCACTGTTCGCTTATATAAGGAAGTCGCTGTAGCCTGCTGAAGTTTCTTCACATCATGCTCTATGTTAGCAAATTTTCGCGAATATAATCTCACCAACCGCTTAAACGTAGTAAGCTCGTTCACCACGATGACTGCGTCCAACAAAACGCCACAGTTCATAACTGCACTTCGTTATCCACTTGAACAAAAACCGCGGTATTAAAATGCGCAGCCTTTTATATAACCATATATCCTAAATCTTCATGAGCCTTCTCA